GGTTATCCGCAAATTGATTAAAAGAGGTATATACAGATGTTGATCGAACTCCTGCAAAATGTCTCTCATTTTGAAAAAATACATTTCATTTTCCAGTATCATACGTGCATATTGATAGGGATAAGTTAGCCTCCTCGACAGTGGTCATCAGTGGCCAGGTTGCTATCATGTCTCACAGAGAAACTGTCGAACGCCGTTCGATAGTCAAATAATTGACTCTAGGCAAAGGGATTGGTTCTGATGCTCAGCAATAAAGAAGGGTAAATAGAACATTGACAAAATAAAAGTATATTAATACCTGTTTCATGCCTATGAGTCATTTTTGTAAATAAATTATAATTATGTTGGGAAGACACAACCAGGTCGAAACAGCTACCCAGTGCTTCCTAGCTTTTCAGTTCTCGCTTCGTTTGCCATATACACGACGAATTTTCATTAGTTGTTGAGCACAGAACCTTAAGATGCGTTTTCGATCTGACTGGATTGCATCTACATGACTGACTGAAGTTTGTATGTCAGGGCTGAAGGACAACGGGTCGTGGTAAAAGAGTTGCAAGTTCCCACTAAAGGTTGATGGAAAAAGTGCAGTTCCGAAGCGTAAGCGACGCAACCTGCAATGGTTGACTAACGCGGAAAATGACTGTTTGAATGAAAGAACACCATCAAAGGTAGCTTAATGAAAATGGTTTGTTTCCTGTGGTGGATGCAAGGCCCAGTGAAAACTTTCGGATCGTTCATCATACTTTTAACAAGTTTAAAATCTCTCATTCGTCTGACCTCATTTGAGATTCCCAGACTCGTCCGATGTCAGCTGGTTATCTCCCTCACAGCCCTTCCTCCTGTACTCACCCTGACACATTATCAGATAGATAGTTTCATGGGAAAAGCCATTATTGGTAAATCAACACGTAAATTTATGGAATAATGCACAGGTAGATGAGAAACTTCACGCAGGGGATTCAATCGCCCGGATACTAACTAAACAGCTACTAATGGAAGAAGTGAATTTTATCCTTCGGTACTTGCTACCGGTAATATACTTTGCGTTTGTCTAAAATAATAACCTTTGTGAATTACGTTTGCACTTCATTCAACCAGTACAGACTGCAGGATATTTTTACAGTTAGCGCAATTCCTAAATTACGCTTCAAACCAAGTGTCGTTAGGACGAGAGTTCCAGGCAAGATGAAGTATCTAACCTCCAACCAGTCGAATATGGTACTAAATGCCTTTGAAGGAAAACATACAAGTGACTACACAGAATCTCATTACAATCACTTTGGGGTTTTAGTAAAATTATTTTGGAAGCATACAAAATTTCCATTAGGGTCCCATTTTTGGTACATTTGGACTTTCATGGGATTATTGTATACCTCTAATGGAATGATACTACTGGTTTGGCAGCTTCAGGAGCAGAAAAACTAGGTAAAACGGTAGAAAAGTAAATAGGCTTTGAGAATTAATCATCCATTTGCCAATGATAACTGGAAAATAAGAGGTCAACTCCAAGTCAACTGAACTGATCACGTAAAAAACTTTTGGCCGCACAAAATGTGATTTGAAGGATTTCAAAGATTTATTATAGGAATAACTTACAAGCTCATGCTTTTCTCATCCCATAGGTTCGAGCTGTGGTTAAAAGACAGTTATACATACAATTCCTTTTGTATAATGTCACATGATACGGGCTTCTTCCACTGTTGCAAGCAGCTTCATTTGCGTTGGAATGTAAGGTGTGCTAGTGCTTCATGAAGTCATAGTTTGGAAGATTCAACGCTTGGTGAACAGACGAAGTTGAGTGGGAGAGAGTTTCAGACCGAACGCAATCTGGCTGCGAAGAACTGACGCCGGCATTCCAATCGGCATTTTGAGACCACTAGTTTGAATGGGTGTCCTCTAAAATGAAAGATGGGTGATAATTTCTTCAGCGGGCGACACGGATGGCTTGGGTTTTGCATTATTTGGTATACCATAATCATATCTCCTCTGATGCACCGGTAGTGATTGGAATATAACCCCAGTGACTTCAATCTCTCTGCGTATGAATAAGGATTCAACCCCGTAACCATTTTGGTAGCCTTCTTTTGTGGACGCCCCAGCATTTTGCAATCACGATGTAGCCATGGATTCCATTACCTGGATGGCGTACTCTGTTAGTGGGCGAATGGATGCTGATAGCAGATGGGGGAAAGCGCTGACTCAAACCGGCCAAAAATCCACCTAAGCAAACCAACATTCTTTAAATCTGCGTTCGATGATCTAATCTGATTACCAACGGCTCACTTTTGCCAAACGTTTTGTATTGTGGTTACGTATTCAAATTTGCTCCGTGAAAGGTATCAAAGTTATGTTCGAATCTTCTGTTCTTGAATCAGGTGTGGGTGCTAAAGGACAAAGTCAAAGTCAAAGTTTTATTATGGGAATAGCTTACAAGCTGGTGCTTCTCTTGTCCCATAGGATGTTTACATAGATGAATCGTTACACATCAAAAAAAGGAGTCACATAGAGATCCGGGTAGGAGATAGAGAATGTAGGCTACAGTGAATCCCGTTTGCCTTTAGTGTACGAATGTGAGGTGTGCCAAGATTTTGTCGAGTCTCTGCTTG